TACGCCCGCTTTTTTTCCCTTTAGTGGCTTTACTCCGTAAACAGCGTAAAAACTTAATTGAAATCTCGCCGAGTGGAATAGACGAATCACCCCATGAAATGGTACATGTACATGTAGGTACATGTACATGTATATGCTTATACCGGGAAGGCTCGTATAGGAAGCAATTTTAGTTGGAGGGGAGGGGGGGGGGCAAGCCAAATATTTTCAGGTTTTATTTGGGGGGGGGGGGGGGGGGCACACTAAGGCATTATCAACTACCAAAAATTCCCAGAAATTTTAATGAGGGGCACAGACATTAAGTAGTCTGTCGCTTTATTCTTTATAGTATAGAACTCTTCTTTAGTTTTCAAATAACGGGAAATTTACGATTCCTACAACCAAGCCGAAAGGGGGGGGGGCGGGAGTGAGAGAGAGAGAGGGGATATTTTTGTTTTTAAATCATATCGGACATCGCAGTGTTTTTATTAAAAGTGAGACGCAACAAATATTTATTTATTTATTCACTGCAATATTTAAACACTGGAATTGATTTTAAACATACTGATTCGTTTTTAAATCTGTTCTTTACGAAATAAATAATAAAATTGCACAAAACTTGCTTACAGCACTCAGCTGTGGAAAAATGACGTCATAATCGAAAAACACGTCATGAGTTGAAAATGGCGTCTGTCAACATGGCTCATTCGGGAGAGGAAATATATGAAGAAAAGAAGCTAACATATGAGGAGTACATGTTTAATCATATACGGAAGAAGTATAAACGAAGAAAGAAAAGAAAAGGAAGCTATCCTTACCTTTGTAAGTTCTTTAAGGCGCATCAAAAATATCTTATTCTAGGGATGTCAAGGTCGAGACCATTTAGCCTGATGAAAACAGACTGCATAAATTATGTGCTTGTACAATATGTACATGTATGTTTAAGGTAATATTGATAAAAATATATATAAAAAGGACTTATATAGGCAGTGCCTGCTGTCCAATCCCATTATGTAAATTCATAATTATTGTTTAAATAAAAAAAAAAATATAGATGTGTAGATGCTTTTACTTGAAATTCCAAACTGAGCTACCTGTCAAGGTTTCTTGGATTTATTCCAAACTCTAAGGAATGCATCATCAAAAGAGTTATTCCATTATTCCTATTTGCAAAGCGGCTGACAGATAAAGACAGAATATGATCATTACGGAGATTTACCGGAGTAGGCCTGCACTGTTTTTTATCATAATTCATATAAGTACATGATAGACAGTGAAGAAATTAGCGTTTAGTTTACAGGAATGCTGTGGCGCTCTGAGACTCTGAGTCCCTATAACACCCCCCCTTTTTTTTCCTTTTTTCCCCCATGCGCGTGTATACATGGCAGTAGGAACCGTGGGGGGGGGGGGCAGTTTTTCGTAACTGTCGATTTATAAAATACTATAGAAGACATGCTCTGTTGTACCATAGTCAAGTGTGAATATTCTTCTGTTTAAAGAGTGGAATATCTGTATGAAGCGAATTTTAAAATAATCTACAGTCAATCGAATTACTTGTAATGTTCTTCTTATTAATTTTTTTTGAGAACATCTTGTAGCTACTATATTTATGCTTGAGTCTTCAATAAAACGTCCTTTTTGCTTAAGTCAAGACATTTTCTGTTGCTGAAAGTGCCCCCCCCCCTCTCCCCTGGCTTCCTACGGCCCTAGAAATTAAAAAAAATAATAGCTTATAAATCACATGTAAATATGCTGTAAATCATTTATCAATCATCTGTTGTAACATAGCTATAGGAGTGAATTCTTTTGTGAAAAAGGTGGAATATTTGTATGGAGAGAAAGGGTAAATTTAATTCATGTAGCGAATAGATTTAATACATCTTATTAGCATTATTTATTATATAATTTATATATTTTTTTTTAATTTACAGCGTCGATATACATTTGTTTCAGGTTTGTTCTTCATTGTCGATAAATTAACAGACATTTTGAGATCAGATCCGGGGGAATACAGCGGGCTAAAAACTGTGTTGGGGTTCCCCACGGGGGCTCTTATAGCATTCGGTAGGTTTATCCATAATCTTAGTAACGTTTTTTTTATTCTTTTTGAAAGTATACATCATCTTATGTACCGTTATAAAATATACATGTGTTATCAAATATACATAACACATATAATTTTTCAATTGACATTAATTTATTTCATCACTTGAAAAGACACATTCACAGTTTACACATTATAAATATGACATATTTATGAAATGTAATTTTTAAAAAAATGAATTTAGCTATTTATTATATGTATATTTTTTTTACGTTATAGTTGAGCAAAAACAACTTGCATGTTAATTAGCTAATATACAAATCTTTAAAAAATTGCTCTTTGATACTACGAGTTATTTAAAAAAAATGTTCATATTACATTAATTTTCTTTAAATTTTTCTTTTTAATTTTTGAAATAAATCTATTTTATATAGGCCTATACCTGGCAGTTTTGGCGCCATTAGATCTACAGAAAGAGACAGCCGAGTTATTTGGCGGACTCCTGGGTCTAGGGTTAGCGACCGGATATGCAATTTCCGCGCATGTGCGATGCATCTGTTGGTTGCTTGTTCCCACATTCTTCGGAAAGAAAGGACGGTCATTTATAGGAACCTATGCAATTATATTCCTTATCGCAGGTAAATAACGTCACTTCCCGTAATCTTCCATGAAATTCCATTGTACTACATGAATATTGGGGATCCTGGATTTTTTCCAATAAGGGGTCGGAGAGATCCTCTTTTTTTTTTTTTTTTTCATTTGAATAGATCGAAAGAACGTTATTGCTGAGTATGAAGAAAAATTACGTTTTTTGAAAGCTTTTAATTGTAGAAAACTTCTAAGAAAAATTTTAACGAATTTAAATTTGATACAGTAAATTATAAAATCGATCAGAAGTCATTCAGTTCATTTAAATAGATACATGTGTGTACACAAAATCTCCCAGAATATACATGTATATTTTACCCGGTAATGTTAGACTAGCATACTTATTTACTCCAGTTATCATTTTTATACGTGTAAAATTTTATATTTTATAAAATATTATAAAATAATTTTTAAAAATATGTTTTAAAACCTTTTATATACCCCGGCCTTTATCGTGTTCTGCCGTTTTTGAGACTAGTATTTCTCTTAAATCCGTATCATAATTACGTACCTAATTTTCACTCTAAATTCTTTCATTTAAATTACAAAACTTTAAATTTGCAAAATATTTCCAAACTGCTTCTTCTACATATGTTTACTTATTTTTTCTCTTTCTTTTTCTGTGTGTTATTTTACCCATTCTTTGTTTCCTTACATTGTTATTGCATCTTTAGGTATCGTTCGTGAACTTGATAAAGGGTAGCGCTTATAACGACGCCAAATAATTTATTTCTATCAATTCTATGTGTATGTTACATTTTGACTAAAATGTTTACCTAATGCTTTTATCATACTGTAAATTTTCAATATGCCGAGTGGCAGTAAATACAAAACTAACAAAATTAAATTTGGATAATACTGTTACCTGGTAAATTGTTAATTTTCTATGTACAGCCACCCAGTAAATTGTAAATTTTGTATTTTATTGCGACACCATTTCACTTTTTAAGGGCCAGTTCATAACCTCGCTACAAACGGAAGGGAGGTGATCCGCTCCCTGACTTGTGCCGCGGAGTTAGCCATTAACCAGACATCTGCTAAATGGGAGCTAAGGACCAAACCATTCCGCAGGATCATGTCGCAGTTTGTGGTAAAATAGCAAATTTAATCTCCCATACACGTACATTGAAAATGAAATTAATTAATTTTATTTCGCATCTGACTACAGTGTCATATTGTAAATTTTGATTTTGCCCGGTGAAAACCATATTTAATCTGACAGATCTATCATTACTATCCACATGGTAAATTTAAATTTTACAATATTTACGCGCTTAATGATTAATTTATGAGTAAGGGTTTTACGGTGCAGACTACTTAATATATGATGTCTACCTAATGACGTCGACTGTGCCGAAGTAGTTTATTCGGAGATTTTAATTAATTTGATCTTAATGATATATATTAATTAATATTAAATATGAATAAATAAAAATGTACCAAGTTTAAATGTCCCAAAGTTATGTAAAGATGTTATCTACAATTTATTTTATCTTTCAAGTATGTTAACTAATCTTATGATAATATGTTTCACGTTGTTTAGAATGAAGGCGCTCATTTGAAGAAGGTGACAAAGAAGATAGACGCAGCTTACCAGCCAATCAGAAAAGAGGTGCGTGAGTTACCAGCCAATGAAAAATCAGTTTTGGTTCAGTACATAGAGTATAACAGAGTACATAATTCTTACCAGCCAATCAGATTTATTCTTGATCGATTCAATCAGCTGAACACATCAATCAGGCAGTCGATGAATTAAAAAAATCATTTCTGAAGTCGATAGCTGAGCGGCTGCTGAAAAGATCTTTAAAATAACCGGAAAAAGGATGCATGTATCTGTGGGCCACAAAATGTTTTTTATGCAAGTATAGAAATTGAAGTCGATATTCATACATGTGTATCTTATGTAATGTTATCGGCAGAAGAAACTTAAGGTAATTCCACCCTCCCATGATGTCATAGGTTTTTGCAAAAACTGTAGTTAGTTTAAATTCATACCTAATAGAACAATATCTTTTGGAAGAGTATTTTACAATAGGTGTAATGATAAATTTTGTTACGTAATATCTTTCTTTAAATGCATATTCTCTTTATCTAATGAATTATTCAATCTTTAAAAATGTTGACAAGGGCCTAAACTCCTTCTCAGGTCTCTTCATTCAGGCATTTGCTTTATTGTACTTCTAATGTAAAACAGTTTCCCTGATATTCACAATTCAAAAGTATCTAATAAGTGGGAAGTATTAGGAACATTCAGCATCAGAATTATGCATTTTGATCAGTTTTTACACATTTTTCAGAATACTGTTTACAAAAAAAGGTGCGAATTTTTTATCCTGACATACACTAAAGTCTTCTGTTTATTTAAGTTTCGCATCTTAAATAATATGGTGACCTAAATATTTTTTGCAATAATTGGAAAATTTAAAATATATGATAATAAATGAAAATAAATGCAGTTCTTGTACTTTGAACCATTAAAATTGTGAGGGTGGATCGTTTAACTTTTGTAGAAAATTGTTACTTTGTATTGAGTTAAAGTTTTCCGTCTATACAGCTCGTATGAATATATGAAATTTATGGCCCTGTTGCTAAATAATTAATAAGGGAAACCCACATTCCTTATTGAATAAATAAATGATACACATGTATGCTTAAAATATTTGAAATCTAAAATATCTACGCATCTGTGGTTAAGTTATAACATTCATTAAATTAACCAATTGCGTAGCTCATTAGTATTTTTTTCAGTTGAAAAGCCACGAAGATAGCGACGAGTATGAAATCGAAGACGAGGATTCGGAAGCTAAAATGGCGGAAAGAATGAGACAGGTTGACAAAGTGACACACAATCGACGCGGAAACAGGATGCAGAAGATAGAATCCGAAAACGATGAGAGCACAGCGAAAGACAGAGCAGAAAAATCCGAGAAAAAATACCGGAAAAAGCTAGAAATGAGATGTGAAGGTCAATTTTAATTTATATTTGTTTATTGTTGTTGTTTTCTGAACAACTTTTGTAGAAAGAATTTTTGTAAATTGTCTTTTTTCTCTGTAGTGATTTTTTACACGCAGTATCACTGCGTTTCATTTTTATCGTACCAAGAAAGCATACATGTAGTAAAACTTAATCAATCAGTCAATTTTATCACTAATCTATCATTCAATAAATCAATCAACCGAACAATTAATCTTTCGACCACCCCAACAATCCATATTTTATTATATACTACTTGTATCAATCAATCGAACATTTAATCTTTCGACCAATCGATCAATCATTAATTTATAAATTGATAAACGATCAATCAATCAATCAGATGTATGGAACAAGGCAGTAATCAAGTGTCGAGGAGCCTTCAGGGATTTGGAGAGAAAGTGTCTGTCCGCCATTCCTGTCATTGGCTTTGTTTTGTGTCTGCCACTGAAACTGACAATCTTCTGCCAGCTCGCTAAAGGTAACCTAGCTAGAACTTTGTCATTAAATAAATGTTTGATCGCAATCTGCCGAGTTAGGTTAAAAATAAATCCTAAGCTTATGCAGTGTATAAATATGGAATAATATTTTTTTTCTTAATACTGTTGTTTTAGATACATGCACAGCAATTTGAGTAAAATCCAATTGTGAATGTGCACATGTATTTTTTACAAAAGACAGAAAGATGTTATAAAAATATGAAATAAATGGTTAAAGCATTTTATACATGTACATGTATATATAGTGTTGTACCAACTAGACCTCAATATCAGTTAGATCTCTTCAATTTTCCCCAAATTTGTTATCCCCTTCTGCTGTCAGTGGTGCCAAACGCATTAGGAATGGAGTGTAAATCTATGGATGTGATGGAGCCAGGCTTTGGTGACGTATACGTGACGTCAGAGGACACAATGGTCGACATGGAAGAAAACTTTGACGTCAATTTACAGTATAAGGTGAATATAAAATGGAGTCTGGAAATTACAAGGATGTGTGAATTGAACATAAAGGTTTAGACCAGGAAATGTTAACTTTAAATAGTAATAGGAACGGAATGGGGGGGGGGGGGGGGGTTAAATGGTGCACCCGTAAACTTTTGGTGATTTGTAGTGTAACGTGTCGGACCTGAGCAGTTAGTAGGTCCGTGCTCGGATTACCGAGTTTTACTGGGGTATGATTGAATGCAAAATATACAGAAAATATATGACACTTGCCTAGTGTGTTGAAATCAAGTGACCTAACTGCCTTTATGTCAAATATATATACAATGATACTGGCACCTTCCTGGTGCCTTATGACAATTGTCTGAATAAACAACTACCTAATCAAACAACTACCTGCTTAGCGTCTGCTGACAACTGGTCTTCTATGTTGACACCTGCCTGGTGTCTTCTGCAAACCAGTTGGTAAGTACACTGTACAGCCAAGTGGCTCTAACACAATACAACTTTGCTATCCTTGCCACAGGGTACACTTTCTTCTACCCTCTATCACACTTCAAATAACTTCGTTCGCGACTTATTCAAATTGCCCACATTAAATGGCAATCGGTTAATTAACCAAGGCAGGTATTACACGACAAGATGCACCTTCCAAGTCGTTTATACCAAATTGCAGACGCCAAGTGGTAGATGTAACAGACTGGTTGGCGTACTACCCTTTGTGCTCCAACTTGGTCAATGTTCACAAGTTTCCCAGTCTCATATTTACAAAATATACCAAACTACCTTTCTATTAACAAGACAATTCTTATAATCTGACAAAACATCATTTATCAATATTACTTGTATATTTCTTATGTCAATTGACCAATTAATTACAATATTTACATTGATTAACTATTATTAATTTATTATATACACAGTAACGGGAGATAATTCCTCCAACCACTTCAGTAGTAAATCAAAAGAAAGGTATTTTATGATTTTTTATTTCAACAAAATCAGTGACTATTAAGGGAAGATATACTTTTTTTCTCCTAAAGTAATTTTTCTTGGCAAGTGCCCCTCCCCCGTCTCTAAGCCGAAAATGTTTGGTTGTAATCTTTGACTGCTACGGGCCTGCTTTATGCTGGAAGTTTGAATCTACAGGAAAATTGTGACTTTTATAGATAATTTTATATTAATTGTTAATACTATTTTACCGTTTTGATAACCATTGATTTTTTCTCTTGATGGTAAAGCTTATACATGTACAAGATCCTTATTATATCACAAATTAAAAAAAAAATACAATTTTTGTGTTAATGCTTTAACAGATGATACAAACTCCTGAAGACATCGACTATACAATGGCAGAGGAAGTTCGGAAGGGAACGATGCACGAGTTTGATAAGAAGCAAGCTTGGGTGGACTTCTTCACGTCGATTCTCGCGAGATTTATGGCATTTACTTTTATAGTGGTGATCGTGAGGTGTGTAATTAATAACTTTTTCCGTTATACACACAATAAAAATTAAATTACTTTCAGGAGTAAAAGGTCAGTAGATCGACCTCTTAAACCGTATTTAACATGTTTGTTTTTTTCTTTGTATGTTTGTTGTTTAAAATCTCTCTCGAGAATTTTTCACTCATATAGATCGAGACACCATATCACTAACCGGTGGATAGCTTCATTTTTTTTTACCTATATACGGCTCCCAGGGCCATTTAGCATGCAGAGAGGGGTCTTTTTCCTTTTCGAAAAATTTAATAGCTACTGGTTTTTTGTTTTTTTTTTAGAATATCTGATACAAATATGCTGAATATCCACAGTGTTTGTTTTTTAACAGCTCCTATAAATACAACAAGAAGTATTTAACAGACTTTAAGTTCGATAACAACTACATCTCTAAGTACTTCCGCCATATTGATGCAAGACGCCATTACCAAGTATGTTTATCTAATATTTAAACAGAACGAACAGTTTATACAAATTAATGGAAAAACACCAACTTGTTCTTTACAAATTTTAATATTTCAGAATAAGCGTACATTATTACCCCTGAAGAATTTTGAAAAGGATAAAATGATTTATCCCGATACACTAAAAATGATGCGAGGGGAAAAAAGAAAGCTGGTACGTCTTATAATTGTATAAACATTAAAAAAAATAATTTCATATAATTTTATCTGTTTATTGACCTTCTATGAATAGAAATAGAAACAATGTTAATTTCTTTATGAGATTTGACGGATTTTATCGCAAAATTCCTGGATCCTGAAAAACCATAAACTCATTTTGAAATTCTGTAAAAGAAATAAAGGATAGTTAATTTTTTTCTGATAAAAAGAATAACATTTTAAATTTTTTCTTAAAACAGAGCAAAGGCACCTTCTTAATTTTAATGCGGGCGTTAATATCAGGACTGATCGTAATGTCCGCCAATCTACTGTATGATGTGATGGATATCATAGAGAAAAACAGTCACATAAGTTACAGACAAACAGGTAAGTCAACTTATTACAGACAGACAGGTAGATCAACTTATAACAGGCAGACAGGTAGGTCAGCTTATAACAGGCAGACAGGTAAATCAACTTATAACAGACAGACAGGTAACTCAACTTATTATGAACAGAATGGTAGGTCAACTTATTACAGTCAGACAGGTAACTCAACTTATAACAGACAGACAGGTAACTCAACTTATTATGAACAGAATGGTAGGTCAACTTATTACAGTCAGACAGGTAACTCAACTTATAACAGACAGACAGGTAACTCAACTTATTATAGACAGAATGGTAGGTCAACTTATTACAGTCAGACAGGTAACTCAACTTATAACAGACAGAAAGGTAACTCAACTTATTATAGACAGAATGGTAGGTCAACTTATTACAATCAGACAGGTAACTCAACTTATAACAGACAAACAGGTAACTCAACTTATTATAGACAGAATGGAAGGTCAACTTATTACAATCAGACAGGTAACTCAACTTATAACAGACAGACAGGTAACTCAACTTATTATAGACAGAATGGAAGGTCAACTTATTACAGTCAGACAGGTAACTCAACTTATAACAGACAGACAGGTAACTCAACTTATTATAGACAGAATGGAAGGTCAATTTATTACAGTCAGACAGGTAACTCAACTTATAACAGACAGACAGGTAACTCAACTTATTATAGACAGAATGGTAGGTCAACTTATTACAGTCAGACAGGTAACTCAACTTATAACAGACAGACAGGTAACTCAACTTATTATAGACAGAATGGTAGGTCAACTTATTACAGTCAGACAGGTAAGTCAAATTGTAACAGACAGACAGGTAACTCAACTTATTATAGACAGAATGGTAGGTCAACTTATTACAATCAGACAGGTAACTCAACTTATAACAGACAGACAGGTAACTCAACTTATTATAGACAGAATGGTAGGTCAACTTATTACAGTCAGACAGGTAAGTCAAATTGTAACAGACAGGTAAGATGTAGGTCAACTTTCTTCATACCTACCTACCTAGTCCTTGTTATGCCCGTGGGCACATAGGGCAAGGACTAGATTTCTCCACTTCTCTCTATCTTTAGCAATTTTTTCTAACTCTCCCCACGTTAGCCTGTGGTCCCTCATTTCCTTCTCAACTGTCCTTTGCCAGGTGGTTTTTGGCCGACCAGGTTTCCTCTTCCCCTCTGGTGTCCATCTAAGGGCTACTTTGGTGATGTTGTCGGCTGGCTTCCTCAACACATGCCCTATCCATCGCCATCTCCGTTTTGTTAACAATGTTCGTATATTTCTGTGTTGGCCTTCTCATGTAGTTCCACATTTGTAATTTTGTTTGGCCAGAAAATCCTCATGATCTTTCTGAGGCATCCATTGTGGAAACTAGATAGTTTGCATATGTCTCCTTCTGTCATTCTCCAGCATTCTGACCCATAGAGTAGGACAGACAGTACGCAGCTGTTATATATTCTTAATTTTGTCCTTCTACTTATGTCATTTGTTTTCCATATGCTCTTCAGGCTGATGAAGGCACCTCTAGCTTTACTTAGTCTGGCCTTTATATCTTTGTCTGCACCCCCATCCGATGTTACTATGCTGCCAAGATAGGTAAATGTTGTTGAGTTGTTCAGGTGGTTTCCATTAACCTGTATTCTTGCTGGTTGTTTGGTGTTTAATGACAAAAGGCCATGTAAAATTAATTCCTTTTTTCAAGAAATATGATGAGAGAGGGAGGCATTTTTTTTTCACTTTTTATTGCCCCCAAAACTGATGAGGCAGCTTTTTACATTGTACAAAACCTAAGAAAATGATGAGGGAGGTGATTTGTTGTTTTTATTTTATTGATTTAGCAATAAAAAGGGTCAATGAGGCACCCTTAAAAGAGATGAGGGAGGGCCTGCAAGATAATATTTTTTTATAGCCTAACTTCTGTTTTCCTGGTATTGATTTTTAATCCAATTTTTTCTGCATTTCTCTGTAATTTTTTTGTTTTACTTTGCATATGCTTTTCCAGATGTGATAGTAGGGCCAAGTCATCTGCATAGTCTAGGTCTTCAAGATTGGTAAAGAGTGTCCATCTTATTCCTGTGTTATTTCCATTTAGGGTTGATTTCATTACCCAGTCAATTGCTAGAATAAATAGGATAGCTGACATAACACATCCCTGGCTCACGCCAGATTTTACTATGAAGCATGCATCTGATGAGCTGCCTATAGAGCAATTAAACTCCACGTAAAAAGCTTTTATCAGTTCTACTATCTTTGATGGTATTCCATAATGTCTTAAGATCTTCCATAGACTTTCCCTATGGATACTGTCAAAGGCTTTTTCGAAATCTATAAAGTTTATTTTAAGCTGCCTTTGCCACTCTGTACATTGCTCTATAATATTTCGTAGGGTAAACACCTGGTCACAACAACTTTTCCTTTTCCTAACACCTGCTTGCTCTTGTCTTATTTTGTCATCTATTGCAGTTTTAATTCTGTCGATAATTATTTTGCTGAATATCTTACTAGGTATTGATAGTAATGTGATGCCCCTCCAGTTATCGCAGTTGGTAAGATCTCCTTTCTTTGGCACTTTAATGATTTTTGCTTTGGACCATGTCGTTGGTATTGTATTACTATTCCAGATCTTGGTGAATAATGAGTGTAATATGTCTGCTGCAAGGTTTGGATCTGCTTTGAATAGTTCTGCTGGCACTTGGTCATTTCCAGGTGCTTTGTTGTTCTTAAGGGCTGTTATTGCTTTGAGTATTTCAGCTTTAGATGGTACCTCTGTCTCAATTTCTAAATCAGCTTCAGCTTCCGGTATGTGTGCCAGTTCTTTAGGTTTCGGGCGATTCAACACTTCTTCAAAATGTTCTCTCCATCCAAGATGGAACTTTCTTCATACAGAGGATAAAACAACTTACTGCAGGTAAACAGGCAAGTCACTTTATTACAAACAAACAAGTAAGAAAACTTATTTAAAAAATAAAAGATAAAACATTTCGTCTTTACTACAGTATCAAGCAAAGATTGGAGCATGCTTAATTGCATGCTATATATTTTGAATTTTACAGGCTTGCATTACATTAATGTGAAGGTGGCTGGTGTGGGATTCATGAGTCAGATCATACGACTCTTTCTAAAGGCTTTCAACAGTGAACATTCTATTGATAACGTGACCACGAATTTTAGTAGGTGTCTCTTTTTAGTGAATATGTTTTACAATATTTTTATTTCCTTTTAATATACTCAAAAAAAAAAAAAAAGAAAAGAAAAACCCAAAATGCTGAAATATTAGGGATATAACGGTATATAACAATATTGTACATATTTTTCAGAGTACAAAAACGTATTTTTGTTATCAAAGCGTTCTATTTCATAATATTTGAACTCTTATCACTTTAGAATGATTGCAATGAGTAAGGACCTATCAAATATTGATTCTGAATTATACTTCTTTTTAGGGTTATTTTTACGCAATAATTTTACAAATCCCTTAAACCCCCTCCCCAATAAATGAAATGTTCTATCAAGTAAGATAAAGTATTCAAGATCTGTCAAAATATAACAATAAGTTCGATGTTATAATTTATTGAATATGCAAAATTGAGTTTTGGTAGTCTTAAAAAGAACATTAACCCCCTTCTATCTTTTTACCCCTTAACCCTTTCTCTTCCGGCGTATTTTACGTGATTTTGGAGGCCTTTTGACATGGCATTATTAAATTATTTCTAACTTTTTTATCCAAGGGGAAAGCTAGGCATAATGCATACCATTTTGTAGGAAATCTCTTACAGATGATATTTTATGACTGTTTAGGTACTCAACCACTGACCTTATTAGTAAAAATTGAGGTCAAAGGTCAATTAAGTGCAAAATTTTATGGGATTTTTTGATACTTTTTCATCTTTAAGGTAAATATTAAGTATGATGCATGTTGAAATAGGAAATTTGGGATATACCCACAAAAGAGCATTATACTGTACTACATGAAACACATAAACTTTTTTTTTCAATTCTGCATATAACTACTTAAAAGGGGTTGCTAAGCAACGCAGAATTCTTTAATTTTCGGGCAGAAATTTTCATTTTTTACTCATCCTAGACACATTTATGCATCCCAGCACATATAAAAGTTAGATGTGAGGTCATAAAATTACAAGGGACATACAACAGATAAATTGTCTTAAAGTTTGACCTCATTAGAACTATTTTTAGGAGGTCAAAGGTCAAATAAGTGCAAAAGTTTCATCAATTTTTTTCAACACTTTTCAATATTCTTGCCATAATTTTACACAATGGATGCTGAAATGGAAAATTCTGAATATACTCTCAAGAAGGGATTAGAACTGCAATATCCATGCATCATTTTAGTTCAAATATCTGTTTAATGACCTGTAAGTGGTTGCTTAGCAACATCATTTTAAAGTTTTTGGCTATATACATGTTTGTTATTTCACATTCTGGACACATTCTAGACACTTTTTGTATATTTCATGAAATTGTTTGTAAGATATATATGGGCCATAAAGATGAAAGAACATTTTTGTATTAAAAATTGACCTTGACACTCTTGTTCTTCAGGGGGTCAAGGTCATATCAGTACAGAATTCTGCTTTAAACTGTAAGTAAATATCAATTTTGAAATGCTTCAAACATGGATAAATCACCTAATAGCTGACGTAATAAAAATGGTGAATGACAAAATTTGCAAGCAAAGAATTCTGGTCTGCTTCTTACAAACCCCTAGCAAAACATGTATACAATCTTTTTGTTGAACAAGAAATCCATTCTCTTGATGCCATTAGATATAATCTTTATTTTCATGAATTTAATCTAACAAGAAAAAAAAACTAAATGATTTCATTACAAGATTTTTCTGGTATAACAGAGTTTAAGGGGTACAATAAAGACTTGACATTATCTTGGAGAGAAATAATAATAATAGATAGCATTGGCAATATTTAACCCAAAAATGTTTAGTCAATAAGTTGAAAAATTGACGCTTATATCCAAATATACAAATCCAGAAATATTGCAAGATGAATTCCAAATCAGACTGAAATCTTCAACAAAATGTTGAAGAGCACTTTTACTTTGTGTCCACCATTCTTTTATCAACTGTCGTTTCTCTGTAAGACTGGAGGAAGTTCTTTGACTTGTCCAAGACATTATTATTTGCTGTCAAGTACAAGTGATCAGCTTCTATCCTGTAAAAGATTTAAATATTTTGAAACAGATACATGTCATTGTGTATATGAATTTACATTTATAAATAAAATTAAGAGTGCTAAAATTACTACATTTATTTGATTTTCCTTTTAAAATTAAAATTGTATTATGTGATTCAAGTAGTTAAATGATATTGCTAAGTCAATGTATCAGGACTGTTAATTTAACAACCTTGTAGTAAACCATCATGGTAAAATTACTGAACTAAAACAAATAGCATATTTGGCAATCTAACTAAAGCCAGACCTCTGTTTATGCTATTGCAACATATAAATAAACCTGGCAGTGGATGGAAGATCTAATTTTAATTATGCTACGAAAGCCATGAAGGGACACGTCAATTTTTCAAAAAAGTAAAAAATGAGATCTCGAATTAGACAATCCAATCCCATGGATTACTAATTTGAAATCGTTCCCTCGATTTATAATTCGAGATCTCAAATTACACAATCCGATCTTACTGATTACTAAGTTTCCCCCTTAATTCATAATTTGAGATCTCGAATTACATAACGATAATTTTTTTTCACAGATTAATAATACGAGAACTCGATTTGTTACAACGTCAGTCTTATGATTTTGGCAATCTGTGCTCTTGAATTTCATTTGATATATGTACAGATAAATCCAACGATTTTAATCAATTAGTGCGTTCTGTTTATTTTGTTTCAGCAACCGGTTGTTACCAACCTCTTTCATAACTAATTCATCGTATATTTATTTTAGAAATATATTACACAGGACCCATATTCACTTTTACTATTGCGGACTTTTAATTATTCTAATATACACGTAACACAAAAACCCAAAAGATTTTTTGTTGTACAAATATCAGTATAAGCATATGAATTTGAAAATATTCATGTATTTTTCTCATTTTGGACCGTTATATGTAATAAAAGGTAGGATGTAATACTACATGTACAATATTCTATTCTTTAAACATGTATTACCATATCCGATATGTACGGATAAATAATTTTAATGAAACATGTGAAATCATGGGAAGGGTTTACATTCTGAGGGAACGAATCGTTTAAACTAGGAGAATGAATTATACAATCTGAGATAGCGTATTGTGTAATTTGAGGGAACAAATTGATAATCTGTGAGAATGAATTGGCAATCTGTTATAACATTGAGAGAGACCGGATTGCATAAATCAAGAACTTGGTTTACTTTTATTATTTTTTAAAAATTTTTTGTCCCTATATGGCTTTCATAGATTGCATACCTGCATGGCTGCCAAGGTTGTAAAAAGAAAGGAGACAATTGACTGCAAATGTTACTTCAGGGCAAAATTCCTGGGGCAAGGCTGTTCGTGAGAATGGGATTGTTGATAAACCATCCAATGAGTTTGACCACCCATGTATATGATGTACGATGACTGGAAAAGTCTAAAAAATTGAGAAAATGGAAATTCTAACCACATACTTTATGCAGATTGGAAATATAACATAAGTCTATAAAAACAGCTTGTTCCATATCTCGGCATTCATTCAAATAGATATTACATGTTTAAATAATGTGTTTGTTTGAATAATCAAGCATCATGAGTACACCGTATTATGTGTTTCAAACACTTATTTTTCAAAATATAAATCAAATGTTTATAAACTTGTATGAATGCAATATCATGAGAATGACACAAATGAAATTTGACTTTATTTTTTGAAATTTTAGAATATACAGAAATTTTCAACACCAAAACAAAAATTTACCTGTTCATTGGTGTCCTTACATATTAATTGGCCTTCGTAGTTCATGGTGGGCTTAGCAAGTGGGTATTCACAGATGAAAGTATTGTTGCATATGTTGCCTGCAGGCTGCACCCTAAAAATTCAATGTGAAAGTCGTACATGTACACACTGTTACACACATACTGAAAACAACTATCCATTATTATTGCAACTTTGATTTTACTTTGAACTTACGAGTGATTGTCAAAAACATCAAAGTTCAAAAGCAACACAAAATTGGTTGAACAATACGATATACGCACACTGAAACATGAAGGAAGATCTAGTATTTTCTTTTGAACGTGAACTAATGCGTTTTAAACTTAAACTATTCAGTCAATGTACACGTATTCTCACCTGCTAATACCAAAGGCATGTCCGTATTATTTGATTCATTGATGTGATGATCTTCGTCGTGAAATAATCATGAAAAATGACGTTCGGATTTCGGATCACCATCATGTTTACACCACAGCGGAAACACGTGGTTATTTCAATTCGTATCAACTCATACAGTGATGAGTCGTATTTATTTATAAATGCGATTTTTTGTATTGTGAACTTGCGTGCCAATATAGATCTAACTAAATTGCAAATTAAGTATACAGTATAATAAGATACAACAATATTAAAAATCTGATTTTTTTTAGTAAAGATCGACGATTAGGGAATCAACATTGTAACGTTATATCACTACATGAAATATATACATCATTACATGTAGATGAATAAATTAACATTTCTTATTCACAAAAGGCAGAACAATAGTATTTATTTGTTTTTTGAAATCTATTTTTTGTAGTATGAATTTATTTAAGTAAAAAATATATCTAAATGGTCAAAAAAGTCTTATAAAAGAATTTGTTGTTTCGAGTTAGACGCAACAATATCGACCTTGACGTTACATGTAAATATTGACTGATTTTTCCATAAAAACTAGGCGAAGGTCACAAATTCAAATTATCGTAATTAAGAAAATACTGAGCGTAAGAAGGCCTGTAAGGGCTTGTTGGAAAGGAAATTTTCTCTACTTTTACCAGCTTTATTTTGTTTTCCCTATTTCAATACAGAAATAAACGTAAAACTGAGCTTTGTTTAAACATTACGAATAAAATCGAGAAAAAACACATAAGTGCAAGAAAATTCTTGTTTTTAAAACATACTTTAAATTAATAACAATAATTTTTACATATTTTAAAAGCAGAGAAAATATGCTTTAAGAATATACCATGCTTTTTTTTATAAAGTTAATCAGGAAAAAAATGTCAATCGTCTGGAAAATGGGCAATTGCTTTGGAAAATTACGCCATTTTCAAAAAGTCACGTTTGTCTTCACAACGTAAAATCGATTATATACCGGCAATAAAGACAAAATCTTTTTAGATATTTTAAAAGTAGAGAAAATTTCCAAAAAGATGATATATAGTTTATATACCTTCGTGCTACCATAAAATAGATACGGAGATCTTATTTTCGCGAAGTCGTGTTTTAACGCGCCATCGGTCAATTTGACCGGTACGGAAGTGAAGGGGTTAAATAAAAATCAAAATCAAAATATGAGGTATTTTATATTCTTATAGTTTATGAAAACTGTGGAAAAACTATTGAAAAAAATAATTTATCATCATTTTATAAATTGGGTTCTACATTTTTATTTCAGAATGTTTACCTCATCCCACAAAACTAAGGTCATGGGAAGTCTACAGAATTTACGCTGTATATATTATTGTTTGGATTCTCATGTTATTTGAAGCATATGGCTTACGCATGCGCAGACTCATTTGTGCTTTCTTTTATCGAAAGGTGAAAATTAAATTCCCTTCTTTGCTTTCCTTTAAAAGCTATCATTCATGTGCTGTTTTAAATTTTTGTTGTTGTCAAACATATTATTCAGATGTCCACAAACATGCAATTCTATACACACTTTATCATATTTCTAGTGATCGATGTATAATTTGAGAACATTAAAAAACAAACTGAATGCTATTTTCACCCCCAAAAAAATACATGAGAAAAAAATAGACATTTCTCATTAAAAAAATGATGCTGAGCTGAAAAATAATTTTATCGAAAGGAAGTGATCCGTGGCCTACGTTAATTTCATTTAATCAATTTTATTAGAGGGAGAAATCACGGATATTGTTTATGTATAACGAACTATTGAAGAGGAGGAAAGGCTATCTTATTCATCTACGTAAAAAAGTTAGAAAACAGGCTAGGAAATTCCAGCTTTCTGTAAGTGTCTTTTTAATTCCTTTTATCAGAACTCAATTTTTAAGCGTTGGTCATTTCTGATCCCAGGCGAATCAAATGAGTTTAAATATATGTAAATAAAATTACCGTCATTTATGATAAAGATATAAGAAGGACAAGGGGAAGGTATATCCCCTCTGTTATTTACCACATAAATTTTTATAACATAGAATTAAATATTTGGTATTTCAGTGTGACATAATTCCATTTTAGCGGGATTCTGGTATTTTGATTGGAATAAGGCGTTCATGTCCACGTCTTGCCTCTATAGTGAAGCGTTTTAAGGCGTCTAAGACTCGGTGTCTGATTTGTGATGATCTGGAGACAGAAGGATTCGTTCTCTGTTCTACACCAGGATGTAATTTCTCTTACTGTGCCGACTGCTGGATCGATTGCAAGGTATGATCACAACCTTTCCCTTAGTTCTGAGAGAGAGGAAGCATGTATATACGGAGAGTTGATATCTAAGTACTATGCCACACTGAGCACTAACACACATGCTCTGCTGTACTCATCAGATCAGAGAGAGAAAAAAAAACCCTAGGCATATGAAGGAAACTAAGCTAATCAATTTAGTAAGAGTCCTTATCCATCGTCGGAAGAAAGGTGTTCCCTTGATAAATCATCAGGTTTATAAGAATTCATTATTTTTTTTTACAATCAGCATTAGCAAAATAAACATCAATATCTAGCTTGCATTAATATTGTCACTTGAAAAATAGCACTGCAAGGACCTGCATCAGCAAGCAAAGGATGGAACTAGCATTGACGTATTGACCTACAGGCACCGGGAAATCAAATAGTTTGTCTTCATTAAATGAAAACGGGGGAAAACTGATCAGATATTATTTACAATACTGATATATAATGAAATAATAAAATGATTATATGACACTTACTGCTTTCAGCTGCAAATCAGCATCGATATTTTAACGCAAAAAATTAGTTCCCTGCTTTGTATTTCTCGCTTATAAATGTACACAATTATGTTCAAAGTCCGAAGTTTATCAAAGTGAAATAAATATATATCACTGTTTCTGTATAATTTACACCATTATCAAATCCCCCTTTGACTAAAGGGTAAAGGAGACTTGCATGTAAAAAGTGGTGGGGCAAAAATTGCCTAATTACAGTAAATAAATACTTTTGAAAAACCAAATCGGAAGGAAAATTCAAATTGATATAAGAAAAGAAATTTAAAAAAATATATATTACTTTTTCCCTTTGAGGTAATGCTTTTTAAAGTTTTGATTAATATATAATACCATATTCGTGTACATGTATCATTATAATTTTTATTGTAGAAAAAGTGTTACGCATGCGTACCGCGTTCTACAGATTTCAGCGACAGTGACAATTCTGATGATGGGAGCACAGAAGATGATGACGTATAACATCACTTGGTATTGCTATTAATAGTTTGAACAGTAAATAGTATGATAATATCCAAGTCGTTCTTAATTTAATCCAAATTGTAATTTTACATGACTTAAAGGGGTGTATAATTATCAAGATTATGTTAACTTTTCCTTTGTTGTAATACATATTTGTATCTTGAGTAATTATTAATGGAATACAATAGAAATATGCTTATTCACCATAATATGTAAATTATTAAATTGAATGTTAAGAATTGAAAATTAAAAGGAGAATCACTTACGACAACATGTAAGCTGAAATATGAAAAAAAAAATGAAGTTACTTTTATATGTTATGTACATGTCAAATGAATAAAAAGAAAAATCCACACACATCTATTTTTTATTTATAACCCAGTTAATTTTTTTTTTATTTTTAAATTTAATCAAAACTACATGTTAATCACATTGTACATAATCTTAATCATAATGCCCTTTGAATAATACTTCGCAATACTGCTTAAAGGCTATTTCGTATCAATTGCCCCATCAAGGTTAAATTACAAAAGTTCCAATAAAGCTTAGTCACAAATGCCTCATCGAGGCTTAATTGCAACAGCCCCATTATTGTCAGCACTATAATACAATGCCCCATGACGACTAATTTACAATATTCTATTAAGGCTACAAAACAGTTCCCAGTCGAGACAAACTGCGCTGATAAAGCTGTTTCCATAATTTCCAATAAACTAAATCAACATCATGATCATTGTCTATGGATATTGATAATTACACCGTACTACTTCAAAAAAAATCATGACAGTCTGTGTAATTCACAATAATCTTCCCCTTAAACTGTGTCCCAGAAAAGAACTACTGGCTGTGTCATATTTTGTGAAATATTTCAAGCAAAATCTATATGGCAAAGAGTTCCTTGGTACAACTGATCATAGTTCCCTACGTTGGCTTATGCAGTTTAATAATCCCGAAGGACAATTTGCTCGCTAGATTGTTATGTTGTCCACAAATAACTTCCGAATTCAGCATCGTCCAGGATGGTTACATGCCAGTGCAGATGTCATGAGTAGACTACCTTTTAAGCAATGAGGGTTTGATGATAACTGGGGGTAGAAGCTATCACCCCCACTATTGGACAAATAGGTACCATCGAGTCATTCCAGTCTTCACAGAAAGGCGATGCCTACCTCCAAAAGCTGCTTTCATGGTTTGTTTCCAGATAGCGTTTCTGTTTTACGTGAGAGTTTTTATCTGAAGTCCCTGGTTTCTCTGTATAAAAATCACCTCATTTGTCGAAAATGGGAAGACATTCTACAAGTCAGATATTTATTCAATATGAAGTGCCAAATTCTGAGCGTCGTAGTGTGCAATATCATGATGAAATGTCTACAACGTGAAATACATTGCTGGTTGCGAACTATGTGCAAAGAGAAAAAGTTATTATGTTACAAAGAGTGCACCTATGAAAATAGTACGTACAGGATACCTAAGGAAAGAATAGCTACGGACATTTTGGGTGAGCTACTACTAACAAAAAATGGCAATAAATATATCTTAGTGGTTGATGATTATTTTACGAAATGGACGGAAAGTTTTGCCATGCCAAACCCGAAATCCCACAGAGTTGCAAAAATCCCGGTAGAAGATTTCTCGGTGGAAATGTGTTCTTTGTTGGGCATAACTAAAACACATACAACACCATAACATCCTCAATCTGATGGTATCTTAGAATGATTCAATCGAACATTGACAACGATGCTTAGTAATTTTTGTAACAAAAACCAAAGATTGGGACGAACATTTGCAATATGTCATGATGCCATATCGTTCTACCATACATGACCACACTGGTCTTTCACCCAATGCTTTGATGATGGGGAGGGAAGTCTATACTCCTTTTGATATGAAAACAACTAAAAAATTACAAAAGGTGACAGGGACATAGGGGAAATCTAGGACAAAAATACTCATTTTGTATTAATCATGAATGAGGGCTATTTTCAGAGATATTTAACACAGATAGTATTTTGTTTGTAAATACAGATGAAAATTATAAATGAAGAATAAGTAAAATCTTCTTATCATTCTGTTATATTTTATTCTATTTTAATCAAACGTTTACCTATTTATATTTGTCTCTGTGAAATGGAATGACATGACACCTGTTACAAGGCCACTTTGACAAATTACGCACTTTGAAAAAAAAAATTCTTTTCAAAGTGCGTTAATATAGACCATATAGACCAATTCAGGATGTGAAAGTGAGCGATTTTGATTTTTCCATATTTTGAAAATTCTGTAAATTGTAAATTATGTAAAATTGAATTTCAAAAGCTCAAAAGCTTCTCCAGATATCGCGCAGAAACAAAAGTATCATAATTACAAACAGACAGAACTACAGCTAGACGGACAACTAGACGGACTCGGACATATTGATCCATTAGATATCCCCAACTTTTAGTGGAACGAATGAATGCAATATTTAAGATTCAATTTGAAAATCGGTAAATGCATGTTTAAGCTATACCTGTGATAATTTAAAAATGATAAACATAGATACTTAAATTTATTAAATTGCTTCGAAAGTCTAAAACAAGAAGTCTTTGAAGAGACTGTAACTGTACTGGTTTATACCGGTACTAATGAAGGGAATAGAATAGTAGCAGTTTAAATAAAAACTTTGGAACATCAATATATCAAAAATGATTATTGATAACAGAAGGCCGGACGGACGAACAGACGGCGGACAATGGGTGATCAGAAAAGCTCACTTGGGCTTACAGCTCGATTGAGCTAAAACCACTTAAAAACTATTGAATAAAAGCTTTAATATCTTTGCAATTTATTGAAAACTAAGTTTGCTTAATTATACACCGAACATGCCGAAGGCAAGCGTCCCGTTGTAACAAAAAATATATACATATCGTCTGATCAACCTCTAAACATCTTAAGATATGTCACATATTGGCAGCCAGGTAAAATGTGGCTATTTCACACATCATTGAAATTATTTATAAATTATTTAGAAAATTAAGCCTCTGTAAAAACCTCGATAAGAAAAATCATAAGGGTCAATATGCAATAATGTTATATCGTATACTTCAAAGACAGATCTTGTACTGTTTTAATTTAAATAATGAACGAAAAAATCTCATTAATTTTAATATTTCTAATTAAAGTTATTTATATAAATTATCTGAAAAATGTTTTAGTTACAATGTATAAAAATGAAACATATTTTTGTGAATGTTGGTACTCATTGGCTGTACAAATTAACTCGCAAGTAAACTACGAGTATAATATTTCTCGATATAAGTTCAGTAGCATTGTGATAATTTTGTTTGAAAAAAAAAGCTCTAGATATAGGCAAACAGCAAATGTAAGTCATACAAAAATATACCGAATACAATCGCATAGGTATGTAACACGCTGTATTTTGGATGTTTTCACTCTTTATTTCATTACAGAAATTTAAACGCTGATGGCCTACAATATAATATGAAAACTTATAAAATCTAATAACAATTATCATTGTGAAAATTTCATTTACAATTTGCAATGCAAATGCACAAATAAATAAATAAATTTCATTATACTCAGGAATTTGTATAAATTGTTATTATGTCAATATTATATGTGGCAATATTATATACAAATGTACATGTATAACAATATGCATGATCTTATTCATGGATAAAAACATACCCTAAGTAAGGGAGTAAACAAAAATCCATGGATCTGGATCCGTCACATATATATAGCTATCTGTTATTAACCTAATATGATAATACAATACACCTTTAATGCATATTCTATATTACTGATCATTATTTTCCAAACTAAGTGTAACAATACATGTAACATAATTTGAAAAATATAAACTAGTTCATGGTTTATCAAGACTACACTATTGTTTTACTATTCTATAATGTGTGGTATAATAATTGTTTAACAGAAATAATAAATTTGATCACTCAGTCTGATTTCTTTTATAAGGAACAGTTTCATATGTAAACAATCACCTCGATCATTGAATATCCAGAATAAACTCTTAATATACTATAAATCAAACATGATTTTACAGGATACTGAATAGACAAATACTAACATACCTTGATACAACATCTATGGAGATAAACTTTAATTAATTTGAATTTCGATGCTTCTAGGTAGCTGTGCTTTTGATCGCAATGGCGTGTCTTATATTGAACAAAGGACGATTCAAACAAAGGAATTAAATTATTACATTAAAGAAACATTATTATTTCAATATTTTCTCATATTGAGATGGACATTTTAAATAAGGAACTTACATCAATTCAAGATTAATTTTAATATAAAATATTTATTGAAGTAATTTTTAATTAATATCATGGCTATTTAAATTATTTATGATCAATGGTCATATCACTCCGTCGTCCAGCTGATAGGCAGCTCGCCCCACAATCCAATGGACCACGGTTCAAATCAAATCATGACCACACTTTTTTAAACCAAATATAATTTGTCAGATACACATTAAATATATAAAATACATTAAAAACTATAACACCATATCACATGTATAATAGGAATGTGGGCATGTGTACACAAAATGCGACGATAATAATATGGGCTAGTTCTGTTAACAAGTTTTCCAACATTTTTTGATTCCGACGCACACTTATTTTGCTCCTTATAACCAATTTCTATGAATCATATTTGATTGAGAAAAACCTTTTACATTAGAAGGGGAAAGCACTTGCTGTGGAATTCAATTCAACATTGAAAATACATGTATATCGAAGAAGTTTTTTAACTTTAAGTATTTATTTTCATTCATATGTCAACTTGATCTATCCTTGAAAACTTGAAATGAAAGACACAGAGTCTGCCACATCTGTTTCATATTTGGATGTTTTACTGACTATAGAAAATAAGGGCCAACTAACAACTAAATTGTATGACAAAAGATGTTACATCAGATTGTCAACTTTCCATATTTATGTAGCAATATTCCATTATCACCTGCTTCTGGC